AACAAATCAATCAATTTTCTGCCATTTTAGTCATGCATAAAAATTAATTTTTGGAGCACATAAATTGAACTAAAACCAAAAAAGTTTCCGTCCTCGAAAGAGTGAACAGCACAGTGGATTGATCGAAATCTGAAAGAAAAGTATCCGCCAACATTTAGTGTATAAATGAACGAATGAATGAATAATTATAATTCTAATGACAAGAGTAGGACATGTCCTTGGGTTAAGTTTTTGTTAAATTCTGTAGTTTTTTGAATTATCGCACATCTTACGGCAAGTAAAGGCCAAGCATGGAATTTTTAAATTTTCAAGTATAATTATAATCAAGTATAATCACTCTTTATGCGTCCAAGTCTTCAATTTATGCAATTCAGTGAGCATCAATGCGAGATGAATCGCATTAGCCTAAAATTGGATATAAATAAATAAAATAAATGAAGAAATCTGACGAAAATTACCATACCAAAAAATACCGCCTGGACAAAGATAAGAAACAGTTTGGCACTGCCTCTTTGTACATATAATTTCTCTCTCATTTTTCCATCAAACAAATAAAATAAAAACACAAAAGTATTAATAACAGTAATTAATTTAATACAAGGAAAAGCATTTCCATAAATCTTATTTCCATCAACAGCCAGAATAACAACCGTAAGCAAAAGCAATGGCAATTCTAATCGTAATTTGTACATGCATGGTTATATACAAATAGCAAACAATAATTGGAAAACAAAGTGTAACTGATATGCCTGTGAAATGAGGACAAAAGTCATACCAAGCTGAGAGTCAAGAAAAACCCCTTTTTTTATTTCGTTGTAATCAACTCGCAAGCTACAGTGCACACGCCAGCAATTTTTATTCATTAAATGACTGTGGCATATGATAAAAGGAAATTATAATTTTTTTTTTTGTTCTTTTGCCTTTGCCGTGCTTGCCTTTATGCCATTCATTCCAATATTTTTGTTCATACAAAAGAGTAAAAGAAATGAGAAATTTTTTTTATGAATATGTAAAGAGCGGTAAGAGTGAAAAGAGATTACAGAAAAATAAACATAAATAAATCATGCACTCACAGCCCTTCATTTTTGCACACACAAAAAAAAAGTTATTTGATACACATTTATTATGTGAAATGTGAGAGATGAGTTGAGGTATGAAGGGTTGTTGATGGGAAAAAGATTGGATTTTTATTTTAGGCTCATCTTGACTTTTAAGACTCGATTTAATTTAATAAGATGTTGTTAGGATATAAATAGGGTCACTTGGTGGTGTAGCAAAAGTTTTTCAAGGTAAAAGACACAACATCTTGCATGGAGAATTACTAATTTCAGCAAAATTCAACACAAAAGGACCTCGTTCACTTGTTAATCCAATGGGTATGTTTTTATATCCCACAAGTGCTATAGAAGGTCAAAATTAATTAAAGGATACCAAATACTTCAAAATGTTCAAAAAATTATGATTTTTTTATTCAAACTTCTTGAAAATCTCAAAACTCCAATAAATTTCCACTTTTCCAAAACTTCATAACTCATTCATCTCTTCCCCCATCCAAAAAAATTATCCCACAATTTATCGCTAAGACAGAAAGACACACCGAATGAAAAAAAGAGATTTAAATTTATTACAATGGTTTTCATATCAGTTTTTTTATTTCAAAATTACGTGACTTTTCATCTCATCGAGACATGATGCTTACATTTGAAAAGTACGGAATAAGCATAACATATACACATAGAAACAAAAGTAAAAGGAAATTTTTGCAATATTTATTGTTGGATGAGAAAATAAAGGAAAAAAAGAATGAAAATTATTCAAATGAGATTGTCGCTCGCGTTTTCAATGTTCTTTTGTAGCTATGTAACTTTTTTGTGTTTTTGACAGGGATGGTAGTTGAAGCAGGAAATTAGAAGCATTAAATTAGAGAAGATTATTCCTACTAGGAGCCAGCATCTAGGACTACTCAGACTAGTCATAATAAGATAACCCAAGGAGCTTTAGTAGCTTCTCCTTGAACCAATTTTAGGGAGCATAAGTTAAAGTTGGACTTAGACATCAGTTAAATTCATATGTACAACTAAGGCTGAGTCACCGATAGTCGCTGAACAACAAAGAGCTAAATCTGACTGGATAATAAAGGGGTCGTTCACTTATGACGTCCATTAAAAACCCTGATTTTTAAACACCCCTACCCTGTCTGTCACAAAAATTCTATAGAAAAAAATTTCCATTGTTCGAACTGTCACAAAATCCTAGACCCCCCTCCCCCCTTAAATGTCGGACGTCATAAGTGAACGGCCCCAAAGATATATCAAGCTCGTGCTTAGATTCTTACAAAATAGAGCAGTGTTGTCCACACTGTGTGCCGTATGACATCCTTAGATGTGCCGCGAAAAAATATCTAAAGTCAAAGTGTACCGTGGCTTAAAAACGATTGGTCAACATTGAAATAGATAGACAACAGGGCCCTTACCTCAGCCCCTGAAATCAACACTGCCTGTTGTCTTCTACATCAACATACAACATTGAAAATGAATATTCTTATTTCCATTTCATTTTTCTAACGCTATTTTGATTTTACGATGATTCTCGAGATGGAAATAAAAATATCATTGAGCTATTTACTCGAGAACAACAAGAAACAATTCTCATAATTTTCAATATTTCAATGAAAACAGATCGTCATTAGATTCCATTTATTTCTACATTCAATTTACAAGAAAAAAATATTTTTTGTTTGTTTATTGAGTTGATGAGTTTTACTGAAATTTGCATGGACAGATGGAATTGTTTTTAAATGTTTTTTCTTATTGTTCCAATTTCGCGATGCAAAAAGTTTTTCTTATTCTTATTTTCAATACATTTTTTACTTTATTTTTCCCACATAAATTACTAAGACTTCGTTTTGAATTTTTGTCACGCTCTGCTGTTTGCGTCCTTAATTTTTCTCCTCTTTAACTTCAGATTTTTTTTTTGGTTCTGTGCGTACTCAATTTTTATTTTTTTGGAAACTTTAATGCGACTGAACAATCTCTGAAATATAATTTAATAGCTGTCGTTCACAGTGTCGACCTAATTTCCATAGAGTAAATTTGTATTCATTTGTTAGATGAGCAAAGAAAAAAGTTCACGCTAAAGTGATTTTCAAGCTAATCGAATGGATTTCCAAGAAATCTTTCTATGGAGAATTTTTTTGGCGAACAGCGCGACGTATTTGTGGTTTTTTGCGATTCCTTTGTTTGACGAAAGAAGATTGATGATGACGATGAGTTCATTATTTGTTAAAATAACAGCTTGAAATTGGTCTATAGCATTAAAATAAAGCTCAATGAGGTTCTTTGTGTATTTAGCATTGATTGTTTGAAGGCCATCGAGCTAGAAACAATTTTTGTTGGGATTTAGATGATATTGAAAAATTTACGAGATTTTGTAAAGAGATTGTGTGCAGCAAAGCTTAGACTTACATTTTTTAATGTTAAGACATGTTTGCGCATATCAGTTGGATTAGAAAAAAGAGTTTTGATCTTGAAAGAGTCTCATAACCAGGAGATGAGTATTTAAAATCTTAAAAATCTATTACAGAATAAACTTCCACAAAAGTCAAGTTTCCTTGCAAAAAATTAAAAAAAAAATCAGCAAATTTCAACTAAACCTGACACAAAATCAAATCCAGACACCGTTTATTATTAAAATAATCAACAAATTTATCTAAACAACAGTCACATCCTTCCTATTAAATTAAATAAATAAATTGCTCTTACGAATTACATCTGAAACAGCCAGCAGACACTAAATTAATAACAAACAAAACTCTCAAAACATACATTTATCTTATGCAATCCATAAGCCATCAACGGAATGAAGGGATGCTTTTATCTCCTATAATTCAATTGTAACATACTTTTGTGTAATTAAAACAAAATAAAATCTCACAACAGCACTTCCACTTCCAATCTTTTCCGATAATCTCTTATCAAAACAACAAATAATAAATTTATGTCTGTTTCCAGCAACTCATCATTAAGAGCATTCGTAAACATGGACGAGAAATAAATCTCATTACCGATGCAGAATAAATAAGGAGAGAAGTAAATGCAGAACTGAAGATTAAAAGACGATGGCAAAACTTTCATTATCACGTAAACATTTGTTCACTTTTACGTCGAAACATCAAAGCGAACATTCACGTCTCTAATCATTAGTTGTGTACCTCCTCTTTTTCATTTTCCACCAAATGACACAAAAAAATGATACAACATGTAACAGGCAATGGATTTGAGTAGGAAAAGGTAGAGATTTTTGAAGATGGCTAGAGCGCTTTTAATCGATATGTTGGACATAGACTTTAGGAAATTCTTTTGGACTGAATTCTGTGGTTCTTAATTGATTCTCTTGATAGCCAGAAACATCAGGAATTGAGGTTAAGATCACACCAGCACACCTGTTTTTATAGCGACTTGAGCGTCTGGTTGAAGACCAAACATCAGTACCCATTGCATATACTCAAAGGATGCAAAATTCAGCTGATGACAATAAGTCACCAAACTGCCAAAAAAAAATCTCTAAACATCCAAAATCACCACACAAACAAACAACAGCAAAAAAAATTCACACGAAATCACTTAAATGTCGAATGAAGAAAAAATTGCAGTTTTGTAGGTTGAAATTGACATAAATGGATATTTTTCATGACTCATGCTGTGATCTAGTCACATTATTACTGAAATGATTGCCGTATGACGAGGGAGGGCGAATCTATAAATTCCATTTAGACATGTTACATTACTTTGCTGAGGTTTTGTTTACAATATTTATCTCTGCCACTCTCTATTGCTATTTCATTTCTCCCTATTCATTAGTTTTGTATGATGTTTGTAGAGAACGGGAGAGAATGAGAGATTTCGAGGGGAGAAATGACTCTCTACGTGCTCTTTGTCTGTTGCATTTGGATTTGTTGCTAGATATGAATGTTTTTGCATTTTTAATAAGAATAAATGTAGTTCATGTTATCAGTTGCTTCATAAAACCAGCAATTTATTAAATATTTTTTAATTATTGATTTTTACAAAGCTCTACAATAAGTTTTAATTTTTTCCTTCATTTCCGGAAAACCTGAGGAATAATAATGTTTGTTCATGCACAAATTATCTCTCAAATCGACATATTTCAGGTTTGCCATATGATCAAACATTGTGGAACTAAGGATGCCAAATTTATTCTCACTTAACCAAATCCATTCAAGATTGTTATTATTTTTAAAATGCAGATCATTTAAATTTTCAACGGCATTTCCATGGAAAGAAATATTCTGTAATTGCGTCAAACTACTTAGAGCATTTTCTGGCACAAGTTTAATTTGGTTCTTGAAAAAATTTAGAGTTCTTAAATTTTTGAGAGGTTTAAAGATATTTTCATCGATAGTTTTCAAAAGATTGGTTCCCAAAAAAAGATATTTTAATTTTGTCAAATCTTTAAATGTGTCAGATGGAATGCTTGAGATCTCATTATATTGAATGTCAAGGCATTGAAGCTCTTTTAGATTTTCAAAATTTTCGTATCTAATTTCTTGAATAGAGCAATTGTATGCAGAATATCCCACCATATTTGGAAATTTTTTGTAAACTTTCACTGGAAGATATTTAATATTTTTGATATAATTAAAAAGTATTCCTTTAACCCCAAGACTCTTATCTTCATATATTTCGATGTTCTTATGAAATATGTAGCTGTCCGATTTTGCATCAAATGTCCAAAGATTCATGTCAAACCTGTTCCAAGTTCTTTCTTCAGCATGACCAGAAATCACTTCTCCACAAAGAATTTCATGTGAAATGATATTGATGAAGACAAAAAATAAAAATAATCTGTGAATAAACAGAATAAAATTATGAAGAACTCATTTTTTGAGTATTGATAAGTACATACAGTCTCATGTTGCTTATACTTTTTAATCAAAACTCACTATGACTTAACACTGTTAAGTTAACAGTTATAATTAAATGAATTAAATGATGAACGTTGAATAAAAATTCACAGATTTTATACTCTGGGTTATCTTTCAATCCCAATTTCATTTAAATAAGACAATTTGGATTTTCCCAATTAAATCATCATGTAAAATGCTATGTTAATGAGTTGTCCTTATCAGAAATCAAAAATATATAAGACAATAATAATTCACAAGTCTTTGTTGTGAATTTTCAATCTTTTTAATTCGTATTTTCAAACATAGTTTAATAATCTTATTGAGTAAGTCTTATTGCCAATTCTAACTGCGATCCTTCTTGAATATTGTAATCTTCCAATGTTCGAGAGTCTTCCAATTTATTGCCATTAAACATTAAATGTTGCTGATCTGCTGGGAAACCTTCTTTATTGTAAATTTTTGATTTCACATTGTAGATTGTGTCTGATGAGTCAACATCTATTGTGGTAACTCCAAATATACTCCGGACTCGAATTGGCATGCTAAAATTTAAAAATTAAAGAAATTTAATATTGAAAATTAATCATTAAAACTAATTCCATACCCTACACAAATGATATCCTCAAAAGTTGCGGCGATGATCATTGAAATCGCCAAAAAAGTTGATCTACAAAAATTACAAAATAAAGTTTATTATAATTTTAAATTATTTTTTTGAATCAAACTTACAGTCGCATATTGCTGTTGTTTTATAATTGCAATCCTTTTAGTTTTCTCGGTTCCGATGCTAGATGCAAACTGATGATGATTTGATGAGATTTTCTAGATTTTATTCATTTTGTTATCAACTGTTTTAAGCTAATTAAGAAACATGGAAATAGTAATGACCTCTAATTGTTGTCAATGCCTGTAAAAGATGGAAGAAAAAAAGGTTTAAGGAACTGGAATAAAAAATACAAAAAAAAACTTTTTATTTGAAAAATTAACCTTTATTAAAATTTAAAGTATTTTTTGATATTTGTTTGAACATTGTGATTACTCATCTCACATCATATGAATCAGCAATCCTTATCATTTATTTATAGAATTTGCGGTCAATGAATTAAATTGACACAGTGAATTGACTCATAATAAGTAAGTTAATAGATTATTTTTGCATATAAGAGAGACGCGAAAGAATCAAAAATTTTATAAAATTCAACAAGAAGACTTAATTTTTTCCTTCATTTCCAAAAATCTTGCTGCAAAATAATAATCATTAATGCACAAGTTTTCCTTCAAATCGACAAATTTCAAGTTTTTCATTTTATCAAACATTGTTGAGCTTAAAATGCTAAACTCATTGTTATGCATCCAAATCCATTCGAGTTTTCTGTTATTCTTAAAATGATTGTCATTCATAGATTGAATGTTGTTATCAGAAATGGAAATATTGCGCAATTGTGACAAATTGATAAAGATATTTTCAGACAGAGCACTAAGTTGGTTGTTATAGAGAGTTAGTAATCTTAAATTTGTAACTGTATCGAATGTATGATCATCAATATTTGCTATTTCATTGTGATTTAAAAATAGAAACTTTAAATATGTTAAATCCTTAAATGCATCTTGTTCAATAGACGATATTTGGTTCGTACCAAAACTTAATATTTGAAGCTTGCTTAAATTCGTAAAGTGCTCATATTTTAAGCTACTGAGAGAACAGTTGTTAGCAGCGTACACGACCAAATTAGGAAATTTTTCATTCAGCTTTACCGGTAGAAATTTGATGTTATTGTTTGGTTTGAAGTAAAGTCCTTTGACGCTTTCACTTTTATCTCCAGAAATTTCAAAATTGTCATCAAAAATGCTTTGATCTGGTTCAACATTAAATGTCCAAAGATACATATCTAGGGAGGACCAATAAGTTTCCTCTGGTGATCCAAACATGATTTCTTCACAAAAGTTCAATTTCGCTACTTCTAGAATCACCAGCAATTTCACCACAGCAGACCTTATAAGATTAAATAAAAATAAAATAAAATTAAAATGTTTTTTTAATAATTATGACCCAAATTACAGTCGCATGTTGTTATCAATAGTCTTAAAAGCCTCAAAAAATTTATATATTTTCTTAATAGATGTTCACAAAAACTGACTTCTAATTTCTAAATTCACTGGATTTTATACTCTCTGTTATCTCCTTGAGTCAAACTAGATTTAACTGCACCAAATATTAATGAAATTTTCAAAATTGAAAGTCTTTACCTTCCTCAGTGCAGATATGACTCGAAGAGCATATCTGTAGTAGATAGGCCTAAGCATAGGACTCGCGTTGAACTGGATAAATTTGTATGAAGAATAGCCGAAGTGAGATAAGTACCTCGGAAGCCGAGTGGCAGGGATCTCTGATCGAGTGGTCATAGATCGCCTCTATTGAGGTCGTGGGTTCAATTCCCATTGAACCTGACTTGTTTTACATTAGTATACACATATGGCAGTTATAGGGAGATCTACACTTATCACCAATTCCTTACTCTATCACTTGTTATCACCTGCCAAGTATACAACCAAATAATCTAGTTCTTCAGCCGACCTAATCCACGAGAGGGACAAAAAATCACTTGCAAATGTATCATATCGCTTATAAATTTTTAATATTCTCAGTAAAATCTTTCAAATTTGTATCATTAACATCCCTTCAAAAAGAACCTTATTTATGACGATGTTTTCAAATTAATTTCGATTTGAGATGTCACATTAGTTTGAAAAGATGAAAAGAAAAACAGCAACAAAAAAAATACTAATAAATGGAATAGGGTAATGGATGAATAAAACATGATCGCATTTGTAGGAAGGAAAAAAAGCATAAAAGTAAGTAAGTGGAATTAAAAATGTTGATGAATCAGAGATAAGATTTTTAATGGTACATAGATATGTCTATGTTTTTATGTTTTTCTTTCATTTTTCTTCGAAATGTGAAATGATACTTTTGATGCGAGGAAGTCTCCGTTTTTTGTGTATTTGTCTCTGTTGAATGCAGTGTTGGAAGTTGTTAATGATGTCCTGAATACACATTCGATGACTCAAATCAAAGAGGTTTCCTCAAACCCCATTTAAGCTTCAATAATGTCCACAAGAGTGTCAAACTAAGAAATTACTTTTTGATTATTTTTGAATGTCCCCTTGAATACCCTTAAACGTCCATCGTAAGCTAATTTATCTGAGAATTCAAACTTATTGGTATCTGGCTGATATTTGACAGCCATCTGTTGGTTTCAAGCACAACAACACCAACTCTGTTTGAATCCATTCATTACATTTTCATCTCAACCCACTCATGCACATCGACATGAATAAAATACATTGAATGCATTGACGATGATGATATTTATTAATGATACATCTTTTATTCTTTGAAAAAACATTCACATGTTCATAAAAGCGATTCCCTTTCTATCTGCTAGCAAATGGACAAATGAAAATTCTATAAGATTTTAATAGCAACAAATATTTTTGTTGGCATTGAATGAATTCATCTGAGCGTGTATTTTACATCATTTATCATCATATGTTGACTGTGATACGATGTAAATTTATTTTTATTAAAGTAGCAGAAAAAAAGGCTTTGTAGTTTATAGAGAAAAATGATTTTTTGATGAAGTTTAATGGATGTTTGGAATTGAAATAATTTTTATGGGCATTTTGTCTGGAAAATAGAATTACGAGTTTGTGAAATTTGCTAATTTTTTTGCATTTGTTTCGGGTATTTATAAGGGTAAGGGATTTATTTAATGGTTTTTTGGTGCTGTAAAGATTTTTAAGGCTCAACTAGAAGTCAGTTTATATTGAGTTTGCTAGCTATAATTCTTATCAACCATAATTCGAAAGATAAGTAAAGTGAAAGCACAAATTCCTAATTTTTACAATTTGTACAAAACTATGTCCCTCAAAATAGAGATTCAAAATGCTCAGTCAGCTCTTCAATCACACCACACAACCCTTAACATCAAAAAATCTCTTTACACTTACATCAAATCATCATTAATCTCACAAAATGATCATTTATCTAAATTTTTTACATTTATTAGCTTGTTTGTAAAACATTTCAACAATAGCTCATCATTTTCATGCACAGTTTTTAATAAATTTCAAGGATTAAGGCATAAAAAAAATTCATTAAATTTCTGCTCGAGTAAATAAATTTAAAGAATGCACTAGGATGTAAAATTTCATCTCATCTCTAACTTCTAACATCGTTTCATAATGATTGTTTGATAGCTCGAGGGTCTCGCTTGTCATTTTTTGCCATTAATCATTTCGCGATGACAATTCAACCTCTGATTTATTGCAACAAATCCACAGACATTACTAGAATATTAAAATTGATTTTTCTTGTAATTTTTTTCCTCCTTTTCGTGCTTAAGAATGAGTCAAGATTTGGACAGTTTTTTGTGCTGCTCAGTATTTTTTTCGTGTTTAAAAAGTTTTGAAGGATTTCTTTAAAGTCATTCGGGGAGGATTAGAAGCTAGTTCACTAATGTAATTCCTAATTCAAAACTGGATGTTAAGATTTTCAATATTGCTTTAACAATCATTTCAACGCCTTACTCTTAAACTGGCAAATTCACGAACATAAGGCTCACTATCTTTAATTCTGCTGCAACCTAGTTACACCACAAATGCATAGCTTCCCATCCCGGTACCCAAATTAAAACATTTTCTCCTTAACATAAAATCTATTCACATTTAAAACTCCGTTCACAAAACTTTTACTCTCTGAATTAAAACAAAAAAAAAATAATATTCAAAAGAATCAAAAACAAAAGGCGACAAAATTCTTTCAATTGTTTAGTAAGTTGAAGTTTCACAATTTTGGTAACAGCTGATTTCTTCCATTTCTTATTATTCTATTGTTCTTTGATTAATCGGTAACCATTTGTGAACACCAAAGTTTGGGGGATGTAGAGTAATAGATTGTTTGGAGCTCGTGCTGGCTTTTTTAAACAGAAATTTTGCGGCTTTTTTGTTCGAAAATTTACATAATACGTAATTATTTGAATTAATTGTAATAGTCAAGTCTGGCAGTTGTGATGCTATTTTTAATGAATTCTTCGAGGGCTGTAAATTAGGAAGAAGATGAGTACTTAAAGGCAATGAATGTTTAATAAGTCTTCTTTTATTTGGTACACGTTTTACAGGTTAAGTTCTGAGAAAGGTTGTAATTAATCTTCTGTTAAAATCAGAAGCTTGGGAGGAAATTTTGGTACTTCGGACTAGAATGTCATGAGTTCTTCATGATGCTCAAATGTATAGCTTTTTATGGTTTCTTGATATTACTCAAAAGTCTGTTTAAAAATTCAATAATTTGAATTTATGACTCATTAACAAAATCATTTAAATATTAAATTCCTGCCTTGCAGCTGATGAAAACATCAAAATCATTAAAAAATCCAATCATTCTACAAATTTGTAATCAACACATTAAAAAAATCTAGTCATACATGTGTCAAACTAAATTTTCATCCCAACGGTACAAAAAAATATTTCATTTACATGAACACTTGCAGCGATTATTAACATATTTGAAGCAAGTTTTAATGAGGGCATGAAATAATTTAATTTAGCGAGTCACCCTAGATGCTATTTATGATGTTACGCAAAATATTTTTGTATGTTTTTCACACTTTGTAAATTTTTATATTTTCAATGCTTTCATTATGTAATGTGTGTGTCAAAATAATTTAATTTCGTCATGTTTGTTGTGAGTATGGACGTCTTTTAGATGATGTTGCAGAAAATTTAGATGGACGATGGACGATGATGATCAAAGACTTGATTTTTCATGATGAATCAGGAATTTGGTGAGGATTTTGCTTTTGTTTTGGGGAGTTTTAAGGTTAGGGTGTCGTCAGATGATGGTTTCTAGGATATACTCTATAAATACATACCTAAGTTAATTCACGAAGACCCAGTAAACTATAAAACTCATCCTTAATTCTCTCAATGTTCATTCTAAGTCAATAACCCCAACATCGTAGCCAATCCTTCCCAAAAATTCTCCCTTTTTATCTCTAAACATCCCCAATAAATCTCAACAAACTCTTCAATTCTTATTCAATTTCATTACATTTTCTATTGAAATTTCCTGTGGTCAGAATTGATCAAAAGCGACTTTGTATCAATTCATGATGTAAATTTTCCTTTACTACATTTCAACAATCCTCAAAAGAAAGAAGAAATGAACAAAATAGAGAGTAAAAAAATGTCCTGAAGAAATAAAATGTTAACATGAAATGACATTATTGCTCAAATCAAACACAAAAAGGTAATAAAAAGAGACAATATTGAGAATGGAGAAGAAGAAAAAAACTAATTTGAATAAATTTCAATATAACGTGGAAATATTTTAAGGATTTTGAAAATAGGGAGAGGTTGAGGTTTTAAAGCGCATTTCTACAAGTATTTAAGAGTTCTATAAGTAATCGGATTTTTACATAGAATTCATAGCCTCTGGGGATGGTTTGTGAATAAGCAGCCTGTGACACACTAGCTAAGAAGGACTGCACCTAGTAGCTTCTAGGTGCTTAATGAAACCTGAGCTTTAATTCCAAAAAACCGATAATCGACCATTAAATCATTCAATATAAAACAACAGCTAATCAAACAAATCGACAAAAATCCCAGCCACACCCCATCTCCTATAATAAAAATCATGCTATAAAAAAGTAAGCAAATAAAAGGAGATGAACAAGTAAAAGGACAATATTCCAATATTCAAATAAATGTCATTGTGAAATATCTTTATACAAATTTAAATCCATTAAAATCCATAGCGACAGTACAATGGTAATGGAAATAATAATAAAAAGTACAGAAGAAGAAGGAACAGAGCAAAAAAAAAATATTAAATTCATTCCATCGTCGAGCATCAAACTCAATGAAAATTAAATTTATCGGAACGAGAAAGAAAGTGATTGTGAAATGAATGAATGAATGTTAGGAACGTGGCACATACGGAAGGGAAAAGGAAAGAATGTCATCGACTGTCGTCCCCTATGCGCTATTATTGTTCGCACATGCAATCAAGATTGGGTCATGAATACTCAAATATTTGTAAGGGAATCGTTGTGATTCTCACCCTATCATAAATTT